ACTAAACACCAAATTTTAGTTTAAGTATTTACGCAAAATTAATTTGTACTTGATATTCTTAGTATCGTCACTTTATACGATCACGGCCAGCAACACCACAGTGCGGTCGTTCGGTGTTATCCCAGCTCAAACAAGTAGGTCTCCTCCTCTGTAATGGTCTTTTTCGACGATGTTTGGCATTCGATAGCGGGTCCCTGGATCTCGTCATATCATTATCTTTCGAGAATCGATCTGGATACTAAATCGAGAGTCATCTGTAAAGAGTACGTATCCCCACTGCTCTGGTGTCCAACTGCGATGCTCACGGGCTCAATTCAACCGCGCTGTGACATGCAATGGGGACAAAGGAACACAAACCGCAGGTCGTCGGGCCTACAGTCCACCTGAACCTTCATGCAGTCAAAGTAGGAGAAAGCAGGACATATCTGTCCTGCAGCAGGACATAGATGCGACGAGAGCTGTTGTGCTACTAGTGATCTAAGGTGTCTTGCACATAGCAGAAGGAAGGGATAGTCTGTCGTTTTGGTGACCCTCAGGCGTCCAGATCCCCGTCTTCTACAGGGGTTTTGAATTTTTTGGTAACGATTCCACAGCCTGTTTGATGGCATTACGATGCACATTCAGCTTTCTCGCAACAGCGGATTGTCTTGCACCAGCTCGCAGTATCCCGATAATCCCCAAAGAGCTTCATCATGCAAATGGTGTCTTTGGCTTATGCTCTCTGCTTTGGCTATCTCGAATTACAGGGAACTATCCCTGCTTGCGAACTTATGCCTAGGTCCGGCATGCCTCCTTTAAACGCGTTGTAGTGTGACTGCAAGATTACGTTTTATGCTAACTTTGGTTATATTATAAGGTATTTCTTCCGCCTTCGTAGTGTAGTGGTCAGCGCGCTCGGAGCGTATTCTAGAGGTCCGTGGTTCGAGTTCCGGCGAGAGCATAGCTCATTTTTCATATCTCTTGCATTGAAATAACCTAATATCTCTACAACCTATTTGCATTCGGCAATGCAACCTCTACCTCATATCTAAAATTCATGTTTTAATTCCCCCTTTGTACATCCTACCTTTTCTTTTAGCGTGTTGCATATTTTTTTAGCACGTGTGTAATTTCTTAATTATTTTTCGTATTTTAAATAGTTCTGCCTATAGCATTTTTAACGAACTTTAGGAATATGAATAATATATATTAAATAATAACATGCCAGTGAAAAATATATTTAAGAGCAGGAATTTTGAGATTTTTATGAGGTGTTAAAGTCTGGTAAACAAAGTGTCAATATTCATCATATATGGACTTCGACTACTAGTGAACTAAAGTAGTTCGACTACTACCTGAGTATCAGAAGTTTATAGGCAACTATGTTGAGACTATAATGTTTATCACAACACGGATCGGGAAAATTAAGGGATTCAAACCATGGATTTTGCAGCTGATAGTTGGTTGTGCTTCCACTACTACGAGAGCCCATTCTTTCAAATTCTAATTCTCTCAAAGAGCGCCCGGGGATTATGTCCCAGATGACCATGCCCAGATAGTGATGACTGATTGACTACGACATTTCAGGTTTGACGTCGCTGCGACTATTAGGTTTTTAAGTGATCAAATATGAAAAATCAAGCATATCTTCGCTGAAATTCAAACTTCCGATATTTTACTTGTTAGCTACCACTTGGAGGTGCTATTACTTAAAAACATGAAAACTCGGATGGGACATGCATTAATTTCTTACAACCATCTACAGCAGGTGTTTTATTTACTGCACACAAATGAATCATACATGTTCAGATCGGCCTTTAACCAAAGACGAGATATAAATTTATGGAAAATTTCAAATTTCGACATGGTGTAAGACTGGGATTTCAGACATAAGACTTAAAATAACTAAGAGCCTCGTCCTGAAATATGCAAAGGCCGTTTCGCATGAATTTGTGGTCAGCATTTCGAGAAGACACGTCTAAGTTCTGTGCATGAATTTACTATTGCTTTAAAGAAATAATTTAATAACACAGCTGAATTAGTTGAGAAATCGGTCCTTAATGTTCCCATAAATGAATATATGAAACGAAATGATATTCGGAAATTTTTGTTTTCCACATAGCATAATTATGGGTAACTATTCATGTTTTCTAAAATAAGCATTAGCATTTTTATATACAATTATGCTTAATAATATGCTTATTAATGGTCATAATTGATTATCCTCAATCCAAGTAAAATTAAACACATTTTATTTTTAAGAAATTATCATACTGATGTTGTGGAACAGAACTCACGTGCATGCTCTCTTTTATACTTTGCAAATAAGTACGTGTAATTGATTAGCTTACGATATTAATAAGAAGGAGTTTTTAATCAAGAATGATTAGCACATGAAATTAATGAAAGTGACTTCCAGCAACCGTCTAGAAATAATAAAGAAATACTATTGCAGATAATTAATTATCATTATTAATTGATACTGGTGACTTAAATTCTGTCAATATGTGAAATCTGCTACCATGGGCATAGTATTACCTTTTATGAATGCTTTGGTTTAGTATCTGTATCTTAAACAATTATGTGAACAAATTACTTTCGTCATTCCTCGCCTTGCATACCAGCGCTCTAAATTTCAATCAATATTTCACATTTATCTCAGCAAGTCTATATATAAAGCATTGCTTTGTTCGTTCCCATCAATCTGTATTCCCGCTTGATCCGCATCAATCTAGACCTACAGGAAGTGTGTTATTGTCCTAATAGTTCATGGGTAATCTGGGATCACCCAGAACAGTCAAGAGACGCATTACAAATTAATGTTAAAATCTAATGTGCTTGCGTAAATTAGTTACTTGTTTACAGCTCCTGGCAAAGATGTGGTCTAAAGTTCTCTTCGCTTTCGTAATTATCAAGATACTAGTATAATGTTTAATAACTGCACTGAATTCAGAGGTTGAAAAATTACCTATTTAATCAAAATATTATTAAATGTTAGATATCTATATCATATCAATAAATTTCTTGCACTGAATTCATGGTTATAGTTATTTAATTCGACAGTCTGGAATTCGCTAATTAAAATGTTGCCCACGAAAAATATAAAACACACAGCAGACTACCTGGTAAAGTACTGCCACCGTATTGACGGGTAATATGTTCGATAATCTAATGCAGTTATGTAAAAACAGATGCCAATAATGGACCTTTTGAACAGAATGTTATTCTTATCACATGCGCAAATATAATGAAGTTTAATTGATAAATTATGCAAAGTAAGATATTACTTACATTAAAAAACTGCAGTAAACTGCATATTGTGTAAGTAATGTTTACCGCATACTTCCTTTGTATCTCTATAATTTTTCAGAAGTTAAGAATAATATCATTTAACGTGATCTTGAAAAGATTGCAGAGCAGTGATTTATACTGTACTTGTACTATATATTATCATGTAGTAGCGATTAAAAGAATACCCAAATAAAAATCATGCTGCTCTATTAAAGGTACTATATAAGCAATGAGTTTTAAATTCTAAAATGCTGACGGATATTTCTGTTTACAATGGTATTTCAAGTAAAGCTAAAAGATGCATAAACAGGCTAATATATTACGAGGTATTGCATCTTGTTTGAGCTTGAAGTCGATTTTAAACTCAATGAACTGTTTATTTCTGTATGTTTAATCAATTTGGAACAAAATTTATCTACGTTTTGTTACAGATTCCTGTTAGTTTCACTTTTATAAAACTAAAACTAAACACATTTTACAGCTATGAAATTTAGGTAATTAGAACAATTTTTATTTAGAACGAAATAATGGTATTTTTCCGTTTGTGACCTTTTTCAAAGAGATGCAATGTGAAAGATGCATTGTGCAAGACATTGCACTTTCCAAGTAGTGCATACAAAAGGAAAATATGTTTAAATATTTTATTTACATGCATATATAATATGTTTCATTTTCATAAATCAGATTTAGTATGATATTTGTACGTAGGTACGAGTTCGTAATGGATTGAATGCACGAAGAAACGGTGCTAGCTTAGTAAAATTTATTTTCCCGAAAGAAACACCTCTACAGTTCGGAAACTTTTCAGAAAAGTACCTCTTCTCAGTATGACAGAGCACAATCAGTAGTTACCACTTCAAGTTACTAGGAACATTAAAGAGAAGACAATATATATAAAAACTCTGAAATGCCTAAGACAACACAGCGATTTTTCCAATACTGTGAGGAAAACTCTGATCAAAATTGAGAATTGATTCCCTCTCTGGCCTTATATAGCTTCCCCCCATCTGCCGAGAAATTTCTAGCACCTTTGATTCTAAATTGCAGTTATATTTACATAGGGCCAGATACAGTTATAGTTTCGTAGTGTTCGGATCAGTGCAGTTTTACAGGTATAGGGCCAAAATGTTGTGAAATGTTCGCCGAATTTGGCGACTTTTAGTGATTTCTCACCTAATTCGGTGACGAAATATAGTCGCCAAAACCATCGTCTGCTATCATTTACCTCTATGTTAAAGAACTTGTCCCTGCAACCTAATCCGGCAAAGCTTCACTTCTTAAGGCCTCTCATGCTACACGAAACGAAAGATACTACAATTTACATATAATTTCGCGAACATTCTATACAAATATACAAAATTCGGAGCAATTTAATTTGAAGCGTGATGAGGAAAAGCAAGTAACTACCTGCATATCAAAATGAGACGCGAGAGAATTTAAACTGGCAAGATATTCGTTAAAATAGGTGTACTGACAAAAATTATCTAGCGGTTAAAATGTTAGTGACCTAAAAGAATGTATGCTACCTCAATAGCTGAATGTTAATTGAGTTGCATTTTATGCACTTTATAGTACCATAATCCATAGAAATAAATCTCAAGTTTATATAATGCATTCTGTATCATCTTGTACGTTATTAATTATTCCACTGATATCATGATTATTGCTGTACTTTTATCTTTGTTTTCTTAATTAATTTTGAATACTTAACAAATTTCTATTTTAAATAGGTACAATTTAGGTAGCGGTGCTGTGGTGCTCCGTTCATTGCAAAAGGTAATTCTTGGGAAATACCAGAGAGTAGTAGCAAAAAGATATCTGAAGGATGGAATGCTTGCTGTCGATGGGCAGGAAAGTGTATCTGGAAGAAGTTTGGGCACATTGAGCTCTCTAGATTTGGTAGAGAATTTATTTGTTGGTCATGTACCTGTGTCTTCTAAAATGTACGTAACCTGTCTATTTTGTTTTAGATTTTAATGAATTAAAATCAGAGTTAATTTTTGCAACGTACTTGTCGATGTATATTTAACATGTTTAATTAATATGTAATTTATAAGTTTTTGAAAAAGTATAAAAGATTTACTTTTTTTATTATTGGAAAAGTATCGGTTGAAAACAGAGTAAGAATTTCTTTTGCAAGCAAAATAAATTTTAAAATATCTTAAAGATGGTACATATTTATTAGTACGTATTTTGTTATAACCGTTTAGAGTAGCCAAAATTAATTTCAAAATTAACTTAAGTCTGAAAAAAAAAAAAAAAAAAAAAAAAAAAAAAAAAAAAAAAACATATTTCGATTTTGTCTTACCAGTCATTTTGTTTTAGAGTATATGCGAATATTGGCGTAGAAAATGGCTTCATTGGTTGCATTCGGCGTTTGAAAATTGACAGGCGAGAAGTGAATCTGAAATATCCATCTTCGAAAGAAATTTTGAAAAGTTCAGGATTAAGTAAGTTGTATTAAAAATAATTGTTTCCTTCTTTTCTTTAGCTTTTCTCTTCTTTTTATATTTCCTGGTACGAAGTAAAGGAAGTATTGTAATCGCGAAAAATTTAGGATATAATTATTTCAAAGAAAATATCCATGTGGGGAAAAACGACAATAACGTCATGCAACTAGTCCGTTCGTTGCCATTTGTGTTTGTTTCGAACCACCAGTGTTCAACAGTTTATCCAGTCAGCCACTTGTGGGTCAGAAAGAAAGGAAATGTTTAATTAAAACTGGTTAATGTAAATAAGAACTAAAATCTTATACAGTTTAGATAGAGTTGTTATTTGAACTACGATAATCCAATATCATAAGACAGAAATAAAAAATAAAAATAAATAAAAAAAATACCAGGTAAATAATTTTAAAATTCGGTGTCATGCCACATATTTTAATTAGATTAAGCTTTACATTTCCAAATTAGACCTAAAGACAATTTTGAATTATAATAATTTTAAAATACAGTGCTATGTTAGATACTGTAATTAGATTAAGCATTAAATTTCCTAACTAGAAGTAAAGACATTTTTGATTTATAACTTGAAGTATAAGTGGATTACGACAGTTGATACAATTATGGTTCCTGAAGTATTTTTTTAAATAACGGAACAAAAAATTATTAATTCATTACTTAGAATAATAATTGCAATAAATATATAATTAAATTTGCTCTTTCAAAGCGTTTTGTGTACAGACTTACATAAATGTTAATTATATATAAATATGCAACATCATTAATAGCGAAAACATTTACCAAATTTCATACTCAAATTAGCAATTTAATCAAAAGTGATTTTTTCAGCCTAAAATACCGTCTCTGGTAATATAAAATGGTTTCTTGATATAAATATTATTTTTTCAAAGGTGACTGTTCAGAAAACTCTTGTAGTGCTATGCCTTGTAAAAATGGAGGAACATGTCTTTCTTCAGAGAAGTTGAAATTCAAATGCATATGCAAGGATGGATTTTCAGGTAAGACATACTACATCCTTAGTTTAAATTAACATATGACTTAAGAAGAAACAAAATATTACTACATGGTTAGATAAAAACTGAAGTGCTTTTATTTGTTTTATATAAATGCAAGACCCTGATGTAACAGAAAGTACGAGTAAGTAGAAAAACTTAGTATTAAAGCAACTAACAGGAACAGGAATAGGCAGGACATACGTTAATTCACGAGACTGCAGTTTCGAAGGTTAAATCGCGGTTTCAACAGTGAGAGTTTAGCTTCTGCAATTGAAGCAGAAGGTTAAGTTTAACCTTTAATATAATTTTTTCACTCCCATAACTGAGGATTTAACTTTTGATTTAACTTTCAACTTAACGTTTTCACTTTCACTGCTGATGAAAAAGGTTCAATGAGGGAGGTCTTTCGAAACTATAATCCTGAAAATTTACTCACATTACTCTTGTTGCTGTTGTTTATTATTAGATGCTTTAATATTTTGCTGTAATATATTTCAAATATTTATATAATAATTGGTGGAGTTTTAAGATAGGAAGTTGAATATTATTACATTAGTACCTGCAACGAATTGCGATATTTAAAAAAATGTTGATGCTGAATACATGTCAAATAACTGTCTGTTAAGGAAACATTTAGAAGTTTTGATTGATTTTACATAATGTGTATTTTATGATATTTAGAAGTACTTAATCGTAAATATGATACCTAGTGATAAGGAAAGTAATATAAAATAATACCTAATGATCTGAGGAGTAGATTAATTTGGAATTCTAAGAAGTAATTAGTTAATTGGGAATTTAAATTCAAAATTTTGATGGATCTGCATATTTCTCATGCTGTGACAAAATTCTGTTCTCTCTTAGAACGAAATACACATTATTAAGGTGTAAATATATTTATTACTCTTTTTAGTCATTTATTGCAGTTTTTAAGTAACATTTCATTTGAAGGGAAATAAATCAACATTTTACCAATTGGATAAATAAAAAACGTTTTAGATTTCCTTTCAATTCTACAGTAAAGAGGTTTTACAGTACAAAAACTACTGAAAAGAATTTGCCGGGGGGGGCACTTTGGACAAAAAATTAAAAACAAATAAGATATTTAATTGTAACACTGAGTTTAATATGCTTTATGTTTTAGGATTCAGTCGTAACGTTTTATTGATTATTTGATAAGGAATGTAATTTAGAAATCATAAAAATATAAGTTTTGGAAAGAAAACAAACTGTATAATTTGAATAATGCAACTCATATACTTAAAATGTTTTAAATATTAGTTTAAGGTACAATACAAGCTTGTATGATTTCTATTTATAAATTTTAATTAAAATAAACTTAATAAATGTGCTTATCACTAGATTTAATAAATCTAATATGCTTAATTTAGAAAATTGGTATAAGTAAACAATTTTTCATTTCAATTTGGATTGATTTTTAGATAATGTAATAGGTCTCTGCATTATGTAAATATTTCATTACTGATGTTTACTGTTATTTACATAATGATTTGTTTTATTGCAGGTGAAAATTGCGAATTTGACCTTAATCCGTGTATTAGCAACCCATGTGGGGACGGTTCAACATGTGTTGTCCTTCCTGAAGGAAATTATGCTTGTAAATGTTTGCCAGGAAGGTCTGGAAAACAATGCAATAAACGTATGTATGAGATTTTAAACAAATTTATGTTTGCTTTAAATTCATTTTATAAAGCATATGCAAATACCTTGCAAGCGTTTTGTCAATATCTAAAAATGGTACAAAAGCAGACTGATTTTAATTCAAAATATATTTAAACGCATAGCAAGAAATATACTGTATGATACTCCACCAATACTAAAATAGATGTCAGTAGCATTATAAGAATTCCACCAGTAGAACAGTAGCTGCCTTGATCGATATGGATGTTAATGGTAATGACTACTACATTACTAGACTCCTATTTGAATCCCAGAAAAGGATACTGGTGCTTATAAATATATATAGTGTACTTCTAGCTCGCGTTGTTAAAATGCCGTCACCCCGAGAGTCTTCTCGACAGGTTGTTGTTAGGAGAAGAGAGGGCAGGGATCGTTGGATTCCATCCTCTGGGGACGTTCACCACCAAAATTAGGATGCACTTGGGCACGTGTATATGCTTTTCCGCCCAATGACATTTCGTTAGAGGTCGCACATGGAAGCGATGTAGCACCAGGGTGCCTGTGTCAAGGATCCTATTCCTTATCGAACATGTTGGTTGTTTCGAATGTTGTCATGAGTAACTAAAATAAAATATAATATTCATTTAGAAGTCAAACAACAACATAAAATATAATTTTTTAAAAAAATTATTATGTTATAATTTTTGAGTAAAAGAACAGTGAGATAACTGGTAATTCTAGCAGAAATAAAGCGTGCGCCGAGTTCCAAGCAAGACCTAAAAATGCTATCTCGGAAAGCTGAGAAAGGGGAAGCGAGCTGGTTTTTACCTGAGTCTAGAGATGCATATAATACATACATACAATACAGATAATGTGAGCCAACTGGTGCACTTAAATTATAACATAAGTCATAAATGTACAATACGGGTAAAACATGTCAATTTAAATAATATGTGTACTAAGTATGGCCATAGGCCGGTTACAATTATTTGGGTCATTCGCATCATAATCGTAAACCTTTATAACAGAGTTGTGTATACTTAGGAGGTAACCATAAAAATTCCGGGCAAGCCGGCCATAAAAATATTTCAATTGTTCAATGCCTAATTCATCATAAAGTTTTTGATTTCGAACGTACCAAGGCGAGTTGGTGATCTGTCCTAGGGCACAATTTTGTGCCTGCTGTAACTTTTTCCTACATGATTTACATGAATATGCCCAAACAGGCAAGCATATCCTAGTATGGGATGTAATACAGTTTCGCAAAAAACGTTCCGCCCCAACGACGGTTATACTCTTTCGTCTAAATCACTTCAACTCCCTTCCAGCCAGCAGAAGGGTTTATCCCTCCAATTACACTCGCTTCTTCCTCTTCAAAGGAAAGCCAAGATTGTTTTACGTTTTTCTGCTCGTTAAAATGCTTTTGGCTGTAAAAAATATTCTGTATAACAATACAATGAAAATAACAGTATTTTATATCGTATTATGATGTGATTATACACTGGTGTGCAAAAATTAAGAACGAAGTCGAAAAATTAGCATATCAGCTGAACGAAGAGGCAGAGCGGACAGAAAGACCAATCAGGAGATTAAGTAAGGTGATGTGCGGTAGCACATGCGCAGATATGCAGGTAGACGTAATGGGAGAGTGTCTGAGTAGTATAAAGCATGTTGTAGGTCTAAAATCAGTATTTCTGGCAAAGAGATTGCACGCCGTATAGCAGTTAAAATCACACCGAGTTGCTGCCTCAGCGAGAAATGGCGAATAATCAATCTGTTAGACGACATCTGGATGCTTTTACCCGAGGTCGAATCATTGGGAAGTTGGAGGAAGGCCGCAGTGTGAGAAGTGTGGCTGCAGAGTTCGGAATTGCTCACAGCATCGTTTCACGACTTTGGAGACAATTTCAAACTACAGGAACAGCTATCCGGAGGTTTAGTAGTGGTCCTCCACGAGGAACCACATCCGCAGATGAGCGGTATATTGCTTTACAGGCCAGAAGAAACAGGCGGCAGACAGCGGGAGAAATCGCTAGACACACGACACAGGCGACTGGACGACCGATATCGCGTTTTACCGTGGCCAGAAGACTGCACGGGGGTGGTCTGTTTGCACGACGCCCTGTACGGTGTGTACCTCTAACGCCTGCCCATCGGAGAAGGCGTTCACTGTGGTGCCGGGATCACCGGAATTGGAGAGACAATGAATGGGGCGAGTACTCTTTAGAGATGAGAGCAGATTCAGTCTGAGTAGCGATTCTCATCGCATACTCATCTGGAGAGAGCGGAGAAGCCGCAATCATCCCTCGAACATCATTGAAAGGGACAGGTATGGAGGTGGCGGTGTTCTCGTTTGGGGAGGCATCATGCTTGGTAGTCGTACAGACCTTCACATCTTCGACACAGGTTCAGTCAACGGGACCCGTTATTGTAACGAGATTCTTCTTCCATATGTGCGTCTTTTTAGAGGCGCTATGGGTCCACAGTTCCTTTTTATGGACTACAATGCACCAAGTCATCGCACAGTAGCTGCCGAACAGCTCTTAGAGAGTGAGGATATTGAACGTATGGATTGGCCGGCACGATCTCCGGATCTCAATCCCATCGAGCATGTATGGGATTTTCTAGGCAGACGCTTGGCAGCTCGTACCTTACCACCAGTAACGATTCCGGAGCTTCGATTGGCGCTGCAAGACGAATGGGCAGCAATGCCTCAACAACTCATTGACACCCTCATTCTCAGCATGGGCAGACGCTGTGAAACCTGCCTAGCAGTCACGGGAGATCATATTCCCTATTAAAGACCGGATGTTTGTTTCTTGCTGGACACCCATCACAGGGATGTTTCAGCCTTCAGTCGCATTGCGCTCCATGCTACTTTTTCAATAAAGCTCCTTTTTATACCTCTGATTTCTCTTTTAGTAAGTGTTGCTTACATTACTCATGTCCTTACGTATTGGGGATCTTACGGTATTAAATGTGTTGATTTGGAAAGCTTTTGTACAAAGTTATATTGAAAAAACCGTCTCGTCCTTAATTTTTGCACACCAGTGTATGATTATTACTAAATTCAATAAAGATGTGCAATATTCAAAAATTTTAATTTATTTGAGAACTACCCACTTACTTAAAGCATTTTGACGTGTAATGTTTCTAACTTCTTGTCTATGGTTTTATTAGTAGAAAACTTGTTGAACTACGCAGTGACTTATTACTGAGTCCAAGTGTGTAAACGAAAAGTTCCAGAGAAGTGTTAAACTCACCCTTTATTATCTCAGCCTAAGGACACATATGGCCCCTTTCTCGGGCTTACACAAAAGCCTCCCCTTGGGCTTTAACTCAAGATAAGAATATAAGAAACTAATCTAAAGCTAAACTAAACTTAACTTAGCCGAAGCTGAACACAATTATATAACATAGTTGGCCCTTAATTGAATTAACTGGCGAATATTAACAGGCACATTCAATACAGCCGAGCGTAGTTAGTTTTATACAACGAAGTAGCCTGAAGGCAAACGCGCCGTCACTAAGAACTCCTAAGCTCTTCTGTTGAAGTAAGCGAAATCTTCCTTTAAATACTCTTTTTACCTCATTTATATGCAGCACGATACTAAAAACTTATTCTTGTACGGAATAGTAGGTGGGAAACCAGAATAGTCAGTAAAGCATATTTAAAAATTAAAGTAACTGTTTATTGCTAGAGTGTTATTAATCATGTGACTCGCAGTTATGATTATATAACCATGTATATACAGCTTTTTAATACTAGCTTAAACGAAAATATTTCTATTTAAGCTACCCCAAACCCTTTCGATTATCTACTGGTAACTGATGATCGAAATTTTGGTTATCGTTATTCTAAATACTACTTAGAATAGCCTAATGAGACAAAAATTTAGTATATGTATTTCAGAGAGAAAAAAACAGTATCATAAAAATTGAGTAAATTAATGCAGATTTGATTTGGTATTTAATTTAACACTTAATTTTAATTAAAGATTCATAATTTTGATTAGGCTGTCCTTCGAAAAGGACTGGGTTTCTATTAATTGCTGAGGCACGAAAACGATTAGCCTAGCAGGAGGTTTGATGCTAAGAATTTGTATGCTTTTTCATGGATTTCTTTCATCGGAAATTGAATCGTCTTCACTTTATACATTCATATATGGTAAATTTAGAGCAGCAATGTTTTCGTTATGAAATTACTTTATATGAAAAAATTATTTTGTTAAATCGTCAAGAAATTATTTTGTATGAAATTACGTTGCATGTATTTTCCTTAAGAAATTACTTTGCATTATATATGTAAAGTTTTTCAAAAATAAAGATTTTTAAGATATTATTGCTCTAAACTCAGTCAGATGAAAAGAAATGCTTAACGTCTTAATTCATTATCAGTAGATTTAAACAAAATCATAACATTTGTTTAGCAAAAATCCCCCCCGAATAAATTAGCGACTAAATTGAAGTTTTCAAAAATGCTACATTTTTATAATCAAATGGTTCATTTTCCCCCTCGATAAGTTTTTAAAATGCCCATTCCCCAAATGCTTCTGCACTAATCACGTTTAACTTTAAAAAGAGAGAAGATGTGAATGGAAAGTAATGTCATATTATTGTATGAAAGTAAACATTATTTTATGCAAGGGAAGTTGAACTTGTGAAACTAATGATGTTGTTATCCTTTGTGTTGTTTTACTTTAGTTTTCTGACTGTTACTTTTATTTTGTTACTCTACAGTGGCGTCCGAATTGAAAAAGGTGGTGGATGATGATTCTTCACCACCAAAAATTGGCGATTGGGTTCCCTAATCCCCAGTTGTCATTTAAAAGGGGGGAGTATATAAGGCATTTCGCCCGTCTTCTTAGCATGCCTTCTTGGTGTAGTGGTCAGCACACTTGGCGCGTATTCCAGAGGTCTGTGGTTTGAGGGTATTGCTCATTTTTCATGTCTTCTGCTTCGAAATATCCTAATGTCTGTACAAAAAGATTACATTTTTACTTAATTTTGTGTACGTTGTGAATTTGCAAATTGTGTTTAATTTAAAGGGGGAAAATATGGACTTGTATGCTATCTACACATATCAACACTTACAGAAATTTTATTAAGCCGGTTGTTTTGTCGGTCGATGGTAAAACACATAAAATCCTTTTATAGAAAAGTTAGAGAGTTTTTAAGGAGTTATTCAGATTATTCCTCTTGATGCTGTTTTCCTTTCACTACGAAGTATGTGTACCAGGGAATAAAATCTGTTAAACGAGAAGTCCGCTTAATTAACCTTTCAATATTTTTAAACAAATTTAGTGCTTTTGATAATTTTCATTCATATTATATTGCATCTCGTTTTTGCTTGTATGTCTTCTTTTTGTCTCATTTGAAAAACTTCTGGCCAGAGGCTTTCCGCATTTGAATAACAAAGTGTATAAAGCTTATCTTATCATTAGTGAATTTTAATTAAACGTATTGCAATATTTTTTGTGTTTCTTCAGCTTGATATATCGTCATTTATTTCCTAATTAACTGATATTTTTACGTAGGCCAAAAAATTCCATTTTAGATGCTTTTTTGTAATCAAACTGAAATTTCTTTATTTTTTGTGAGATGTTATATAACTTTCAAAATTGAGAATGTTGATGAACAATTTTTTTTTATATTACATATATTTTTTATCTATAAAAAGGGCAAAAACTAACACCTACTTTTATTGCATTGCAGCTAAGAAGGAGGCAAAAGATCTTCTTATACCCGATTTCACAGGGCGTTCTTACTTGGAGTTACCTACCTTGCACAGTGTCAAACAAGCATTTTCGATGGAGATTTGGTTTTTGCCTCGCACAGCTGATGGTGTGCTTTTGTACGATGGTCAGCTATTGAACAAAAAAGGAGATTTTGTCTCTCTCAATTTGAAGAATGGATTTGTTCATTTCCTTTTTAATCTTGGAAGCGGATCTGCAAATATTACGTAATTATTTCAGTGTTCATATTATCTTTTCTCCACGTGTGATAGATTTAGGTTATAGATAAAGTAAAAATTGCCTGAAAGAAGAACGTAACTCATGAATTCATGTTTGCGATTTCTGGCATTTTGCTTCACACTTGAAGCAGAGTTTCGTAACTTGGGATATCTTGGTGGAGTGACATATTTAATATTTTAAAGGCTCTCTGAAGCTATGCAGTTATATTTTTAAAGCTTAAATTTAAAAGAATTCTTTCTGCTTTTTCCTATCTGAAACAAAGCTCAAAATTTGAAGTAAAAATAGTACAATTACATAGACCTTGTTTAGGCAGAATACTTTTATTCAGGAGAAAACTATCAAAGAAAATTTAGTTCCTTTTATTAAATTTATTTGATCAAATGAGTTTAATTTAGCTTACAATGGCTATAATTTAAACGCAATAACTCTCCAAGAATGTGTGCTTCATCTTAGCTCTCGTGAACTTTGTTATAATCCAGTAAACAACAAAATAAATATTACCAGTCTCATTTTCTCACTTAAAATTGTAACACACTTGAACTTTAGTAATTTTAAATCTAGCAAGCAGATTAAAATATGATCTGTTGATTAATAATCTAAAGCTTAATAAATAAATTAAATTACCATGCATAATTGTTAAAGTGTTCAAAAATTTCTGCTCAAGTTAAACCTGACTAGTCTGTGAATCAATTTCATACCAAGATAGAGAGAGTACTGTTTAGCTCGTTTTCATAACGCAATAGTTTCTATTAAATATAGAACTGTCATATTAACTATTTACTAACCAATTATTACATCTAATAACTATTTCATGATGCGATTCATAATGATAAGATAGATGAAATTAAGATAGTTACGATCGCTGCATAAGTTTGATTTGCACATCTGTTATTAACCTGGGCAATCTAACTTTTCCCCCCCCCCTCAATATTTGCATGTATTCTCTCAAATGAACATTGTTTCTGTAGCATTCTGTTTGAGATGGTATTGTAATGCGTAAAAAGAGAACTCTGTTCACACCTTTCACAGTTATAAACAAAATCTATATTCCGGCGTATTTCCTCGCACCGGTGTGTAACGGGCATCTCTAATTTCAAACTACAGTTTTAAATTTTTAGGTACATTTGACGTACAACGAGACCTTTTTCTTTACGAAGAAACCTGAAAAATACATGTGCGATGCTTTTATCTTCAGACGTCATTCATTCGAAGATTTTTCTGAGGCTTTCGAACAATGATATACTGAATTGACAAAGCGACAAGGGGAATAATATATATGTGTGTGTTGGCAAAATGCCTTAGGGATAAATAATTCTTCAAAGAGAGTGAATTGTATTCAATGCAGGTGTGCACAAGAATATTATTCTAATGTTTTGAGAAAGCTGTGATTTTGAAGTGAACATCGAAGGCAAGGAATGAACAAGGAAGGAAAAGGAGGCCAAACGCGTCAGGCCAGTCTAGAAATAGTACATGAGTCAATAATAAAAGCTTGGAATGAAATTAAACTCAATATAATCCAAATGTCATTCAAAAAATGTATAGCTAACAATTTAGAGGGAACGGTAGATGATTACTTATTTAAGAATCAACGACTTTAAAGGATATAGTGATAATATCTTCACTATCGCTTTAAATTGATGGTGAAGATGAAAAAAATAAAATTCGGTGATATGCTTGAAGATATAACGGAAGACGAATGTGACGAACTTTTCATGTGATCAGATAACGACATTTTTTAAGTTCTTAAGGAATGTCATTTCTTTTAAATGAAACAGCATTTAGGTACATGTAGAAATATAATTTTTGCATGGTCATCTTTTCCTTATTTTTAAATCTATCATTTTTATATACGACATGTAGCGTGCACCCGTCAATTTCGATCTCAAATTTTGAATTAAAAGTGCGCGTTATAGGCGGAATATACGATAGTTGATTCCTTATACTAACGTGATGTTCAAATACATGGCTCTCATTTATGCCTAAATTATTTCCTTTGCCATTAACAACTGCCGGTTTTATTTTGTTGTCACGCAGATCATATACACCTTCCTATCTAGTTGACAAGTTCACATGCGGTCACTAACCCATTGATCAAACCAAATTAAGCATGTTCTTAAAGATGACATTTATTTCGCTTTATTAACTCTTTAAAAAGTTATTTTAGGTAAGAACTTTCTCACAAAACTTTAAAAATATGGATCAATATATATTTTTCCAAACCAACTTTTATTCACAATGTGCAATTTTGATGGAGAAAAAATCAGGCTTTTATTTTTAATCAGAATATTCAATATTAAAATTTTATAAACTATCTTCTTGAAGCATACTAAAGCTGTTATCTTGGGAAAACCTAGACTGGTTTACTAATAAAATATGCTTCATCTGCAGAGCTCTTATCTTGTTAGCCACATAAGGACACTCAACCATATTTCCTCTGAAACGGTCAAATAGCATAAGGCAATTCCTTTTCTTCCTATTGATTTATATTGAATTTTATTACAGATCACGAAAGCCAGTTTCATTGAACGAATGGCATTCTATTAAAATCAGCAGATATGGAAGACAAGGTACTCTTAAAATAGATAACGATACAACAGTAACAGGCAAATCTAAGGTAAGTCAAAATCCATAACTAGAAACCCAAATCTTAAATTGATAATAAATGAATCTATCAGTTAGCTTCGGAGATTACAATTCAATAAAATTTAAGCAATATAAAAAACAAGTTTTTACTTCCTTGTACGAAGTAAAAAGGAAGTATTGTAATCGCGAAAAGTTTCAGGCAGCGTATTTCAACGAAAATATCCATTTTGACCGCTATCGAATGCAATTTAACGATGTTTTTGCGTGATATCTGTACCTAAGGACAGAATAAAGGACTCGTTTTCCTCCAAAAAAATTATAAAACTGCATTTAAAATGGATTCAGAAGAGAATTTTTTCATGGCGTCTGTTCGTACGTACGTGCGTAGGCATGTATCTATATCGCATAACTCAAAAACGAGTAGCCTTCAGAACGTTGAAATTTTGTATATAGGGACTGCTATAACATGTAGATGTGTACCTCGGATTTTGGTTGCAATCGGCCGCACCAAAAGTATATAAATATGCATTTGTATATATATTACTGTTAGCCACTCTGTTACCCGGCTCAGGTGAGGCTCAGTTTTTTATTACTCGTATATGTTTGTAAATTGTACATTTTTTTTTGCTTTAAAAATGATTGAATTATGTTGTTTTTATCTTTCCTCCGGATTAAGGTTTTCATGCCTTTAGTAAATCTGTCTGCAATATTTTTAGAATTATCAACAGTTTTTAAAAGTTGTTTAAATGCCGCTAAGCCTAATTATTTTTCCATGGCGACCATATGATTTGTTTACATTTGAAAACATTAGCAGACTAGTGGATTTGTTGCCAATCTAGAGAAACTTAGCTTCGCAACAATAAAGATAACGCCTTCATTTATTATTGGCAATTAAATCATACTTAATCCTTTCTGGAATTTTTTCGAGAAAATAAGGTTTTAAAATTTACTTCGTAATTTTTAATATAGATATTTTGAGTTTTTATGTATTTTTGCCTTATCGCGAAGTGAGAACTGAATTAATTGAATGATAAATACTCAATCGTCTGTGAAAAACTCTTTCTTTTTTGCTTTATTTGCTTAATTTCTTTAATACATCGTTCTAGCTTTATTATAGTATTTGAATAGAACATGTGGCAACTATTAGATAATTCTATTCTTTAAATGATGTACAATTTGTGCATTATGAGTTATAATATGAACGAATTATAATACTGTTAAGTGAATCTAGCGCCAGAGTGTCGCTATGGTAAACAAATACTAGAGTGAATTTTAAAGAATGCATTTATTCTATTGTGGTTTATGCGCTGTCGGCGAAGTAGATTTAATTCAATCCAATAAGTTTAAATGAAATGCAAGAAAAATTGCACATAATTTAATATTCCGTACAAGGTGTGAAATAAAATCTGATGTGGTGTACACATCAGATTTTTTTTTCATATTTTCATTGACATTTTCAAAGAAGAACGTAAGGAAACGTTGTGCTTTAAGTGATATAAAGAAAACAATTGAATCACATGTAAAGCTTGCAAGTAAAATATAAATTTATATCTATATAAAATTTTTACCCTAAACGGCAAAATTACAGACTTTTTTTTTTGAGAATTTTATCCAGAGTTTTTGACATTATCACTTATTTTGAAGTTATATTTTTAGCAAAATTAAAAATTTGTTTGTAAGTGGATTACGATAACAGAAGTATATAACTTTTACATATAAATTTTAAGTATGATGTCGTGTAAATAGAAGAAAACGCATAAAAGATTTTTCCTTTCTTAGAATTGAAAAAAAAAAAAAAAAAAAAAAAAAAAAAAAAACATCTGTACTTTATGTAAGTTTTCTACTTATATAAATTAATTTTAAAATGCTGAGAGAAAGAGCGAATTTTGTTACTTAGATAATGTTTAATATAAAGACTAAAATAATAAAATAATATTAAATAGGCGAATGTCTTAATAAAGAATAACAAGTTGCCAATTTATCGAAAACGCAACTTATGACGCCTCTTCAAAACATAACCGCAAATAAATTGCAGAAAATATAATCAAGCCATAAAAATTTGTGTAAAGAAATTTATGAAACACGAAGATGTCACTCAAAGAAAAACCTATTTTATTTTCTAATTTGATAAACATATATTTTATCAACTTCAAAAATAATAAGAGTTGATGAATAATAAAATAATAAGAGTTGAAGGAAGATGAAAGGAATTTTTTAAAGATTTAAAACTCGTTTTAACTGCCACGTCACTTTCAAAATGAAAATTGCCATTTGTTCTTTAATGATAAATATAAGCTTTAGACAACTAAATATCTTTTGAAATTCGTAAACAGCTTTCTTGACACGGACAATTCTTTTTTTTTTAAAATAAATATATAAATAAGACGGTAGAGTCATGACATAGTATTGTACTCTGATACTAGTTCTCAGTATATATTTTTGTTTATATTCTGAAGATCATAAACGATAATTTCGCCTAAACTTTGTCTGTCATTTGGGCTAGATAAGCCATAATAGCGCCGAAGCTTGCTTGCATCATTCATCAGGTTGTATTCCTTATTAGTTAGATTTGTCATATGAATGCTAAAATGTTTGCTATATTATTACAGCAACCACTCACAGAATTGAATTTGTCCCTGCCGCTTTACATTGGTGGTGTACCGGATTTGAGATATGTCCACAGGGATTCCGGAATTGAGAAAGGTTTTGACGGAGCAATTCAGAGGATCGTTATGAATGGAGAACCATGGGAACATTTAACAAGCAAGGCAGTTAGAGCTTCAGGAATTCGAAATTATAAAGGTCCACCTTGCACTGATGGTATCTGCCTTCACGCTGGCGTATGCGTTCCAGAATTCAACTTATACAAATGTCACTGCAATGCAAAGTTCATTGGTGAACGTTGTGAAAAGCGTAAGTAAATAATCATTACAGTAGTTAATAATATGAATAACAAGTTTTACCATTAAACATAGATTTCTGTTAAAGGTACAAGCACAGTAAGCGTTATTGATAAGTATTTAATTTATCTTTGATTATACACCGTATTCACAAAAATATCGGAGTTCAATTTCGCAATCATTGTTGTGGACCTGTATTTCGAGTTAAAAAATGTTTCAGATGGCACAATGATTCTTGCTTTAACATTTTTAAATTTACAATGTCTGATTTTTTATACGTTCACTTATATTTATGAAACTTTTATACTCATTATAAAACATACTCTTATAAAAGCATACTTTATACTCATCATCATATGAAACATACTTTATACTCATCATAATACAAGAGTTTCAGTTTCATACGACAAAAATGAACTGAATTATTTAATCTCAAAATCTGGAATACTTGATTTTATTTCTAACTTGCCTTGAGGGGTCGATTAACAAACAAGTTGGAATAATTCGAAAGCGATATTTTTCCTTTTAATTACCATTTGGTGTTTTTCTTTTGTTTATTTACTTGTGTGTAATATTATTTAATTAATGATTTTATTCCGATTGGTACGCCGAAAGAATTTTAACGCAAATAATTTTTACAATTTTCTGACGTTAAAAATGTTATTATATTCTCTTTTTTGAAAAAAAAAATAATAATAATTATCGACCGATACTTTTCACAACACTCTACAAAAAAGTACTAGTCACTTAGTTTATTAACATCAGAAACCTTTTTATAAACTGATATTTTATTTAAAGTTATACGTACAAAATGCAAGCATTTCGTTTTTCAATTTCGTATGGCCCCTAAATATAATCGCTGGCTTTAAAATATAATAGATCGATCCGTTTTTGTCGTACGGGAATCAAACTTTCTTTCGTATTTTATTTGCTATAATAACTCTAAAACTGTCTTAAACGTGTTGAACAGTTATAGTATATCGTAATTTTTACAAAATTGGTATGCCGAAACATTAAATTTTTCATCATTTGAAACCTTTTGTATATGGAATACAGGTCTCATATCAGCGATTTCGAAAAAAGGCCTGATAAGGATTTATGTGAATATTGTATAGAGAAAGATTTTATTTCTTGGTTAATTGATTAGGGCAGAAAACGCGAAGGGTGTGTGCCGAAGGTTTAGTTTGGTTTATTTCATTATGGCAAAGCATTCGCCGGCTATCTGCCTAAGGGTAGGTTGCCTTCGTGTAGGACTTTCTGAGAGAAATTGTCTCGTATACACGTTACACATGGGGAAAACCACGAAAACGCTCATGCAGAAAGCCCGTTCGCTGGGATTCGAACCCCGGACGAAACTACAGTGTTCAGCGACTTTGCCGCTCGGCCGCTGATTGGCGTCTGCCTAAGGAGCAGGATGCCTTCGTACAAGACTTCTAAGATTACATAGTGAGAAAGGGAACGTCAGACTATTATCTATGTTTCAAAGATTTGTTTAAAATAATTGTTTTTGCACCCAATACTCAGGACCAAAATAAAAAAAAAGAATGTACGTTGCCTCATCTTTACGAGCCTTGTTTCCTCAACTTATTAACGTTCCAGCGAAATTTTTCATAGATCGAGATGGCACAGGGCAAAGAGGAAGTTGGTACAAATTTTTGAAGATACTGTGCATGAACATCCCCAGCTCTGAATAAAATTTTGAAATCATAAAAAATAGAATGACACCAAAAATAAGAATAATCGGATAAATATCCTGACCATGTCAATAGAAATAGCAATGTAGATTGTAATTAAGCCTCCTAGAATTGCTGCGGACCGATTGCCAATCGATTAGTCTCGTGATTTCGCCACAAAAATCGCTTCTTCCCGAAGGCAGAAGCTGTAGTGTGCTTTGACGTAACTAAATAATCCATATCATAATTTTGGGAACCTCCACCAGTAGCCAAGCGATTAAAGACTGTTGAATACCGGTAGATTGTCCCAAGTTCCAAACCAGGCAAACGAATTGGCAGCATGGGTGGTTTCCGAAGTCTTTCCCTTCTGTAAAGTGACAACCCTCACAAAAATATTTCTTTTGTTTAGGTACATAGTCATTGTGTGCTTTTTCATATTCCAATAGCATAACCTTTCAAAACTGGAAGAGCAACTATTGCATTGAAAGGATTAGAGGGGATAGTTGTGATAATAAATTATTAAGCCTTTGCTATAGGAAACTAGGATTACAGAAGAAAGGACTCAGATTATCCATTAATACGTTTTCGTCAATTAGTGTTAGATAACTTCGTTTTTGTGTCTACTTACCTCAGTTTTAAAAATCGACAGCTCTTTGCTTTAGCTGCAATGAAACGCTTGAAATATGGTAATGGAATGGAATAAAGGACTTATTCAAAACAATTTTCAGTATTGTCTTAAATTCGTATGCTATTTCAAAAGGAATATTTCTTTCAACCTTTGTATAAACAAATGATGAGCGATATATTCGTTTTTCACATTTTATTTCGCAAAAGAGAGAATTCTCACCGGATTATAAACACAAAAATTATAGATCTTACATAAGAATAAAATGATGTGATATGAACTTTAAAAAGCAGGGATTTCTTTAATAAAGGATGTACTAGAGTAGTCTGTATACGTACCAGAGTAGTTTTCTGTATATGTATATGACAGTACTTTTCTGGATTACTTTATATACATGTAAAGCAAACCAGTATAAGCATTATATAATGTAAGGTGATATAATGTTATATAATAAAATATTAAGCCAAACAATACAGTATTGTATTACTGTTGTTGTCCTGTCCACGAATTTCATGGAAGAATAGTTGCCAGAGCTTCAAGGAAACAAGGAAGTTGGACTTTTACCTTCCACCCAAGTTTTGAGGAAAAGAATCCCGGAGGGATGGTTCAAGCGTCTCCCACCCTTCTCCCCTTCCACCAAATCACACGAGAGGACTTTCATGCCGCCATATATTTAGAGTGCTCCCATGCTGCGAAAACACTATACATTTACAAACATCCATGCTTTTCTGAGATTCGAACCCAGGCCCTTCGGTACAGCAATAGGCTCACCTAACCACTATACCGTCAATACAGTACTATATCATGTAACTATACCATGTTAACGTAGTATAATATAACACAGTAGCTAATTGTCTGGGAGAACATTAGCTTTGAGACATCATATTTATAATTAATATTGCTTACCTTGCAAAAGTTGCATCATTTTCTAGGAAACCATGTACAACCATATTTCTGTCATAGTAAGGCATATTAATTTCCTTTATTTTCCAAACTTAAAAAACTTCTACTAAAATTTCTAGAATTTCTTCGTACATATCAGCGAAATTTGATAAGCATGAGAAAAATGATTCTAAACCATACATTTTTTCTCCGTGAATTAACGATTTCGATATATGTTTTACATATTTAAGTATATTTTGAACTGTATGTAAAGATTTCACTTGCTATATTTATTTTCGGTGTTGTAAATGTGTATAATTGAAATAAAACGTACCAGATATACACAAATACAAACTCAACGACACATAAAAAGCAAACTTTTACTCTGTTTTTTATCATCAGTTTAATGCTCGAAATTACACTTTTCCTCCTTAAAAATAAAACATTCTTTCTTAAATTAAATCTATAGTTATTTTAATAACAGGCTTTTGAAATATTTTTCTTTCTTCACTTCCTCAAAGTCTAGACGGTGTTTATAGTTTTAATGGAAAATTTTTATTCTTGTCAAATGCAGCTGAAGAAAAGACATTATACATTTTTAATTTGTTTAATGTTTTTCGAAAAGCTCTGAATATTTTCTAAAAATAAGCGTATCAGGGGAATAAATATTAGTACAAAAATAGTGTAGGTAAATTATATGAGCCGTTTACTTCTCAAAATTTTGTTTTTAAGTAGAATGATCTGCTTTTAAGGATGAAAGCTTTTAGGATAAATCTTTTTCTTCTGTCATTATAAAATTAACACATAAACCAACATACAAAAATTATTAGCTGATTGTTGCAGCCTTATGTGTTTAATGAAAAATGAAAATCATTTACTCATGAGTTTTAAAAGGCACCTGGTTCTGTGCCAGAAAGCATAAATATGCTTCAGGCCAAACGCTCATAGTGTTACATACTCCGCAGCTGTTAATAAAAGAAGTAGGTGGGAACTAAGAAGAAGAAGAACTACCAAACGAAAGCTGAGGCATTAAAGGCTGCGATCATTAATCCTATCCTATATATTAACAATAATTTTTTTAAAAATTTATTTTGCAAAATTTGTATTTACTTTCATTCAGTTCAACTTATAATGTATAAATTCGACGGTATTTCCGAGTTATTATATTTAACTTCATTTTTTTTTTCGCGACTGTTAATTCCAGCGCTCATTCTTATTGGTTTAATTCTACTTTTACCTTACTGTTTATGTTTTCGAATGTTTTACCTATTTATTACATTTTCCGATCATAAATGTTTACTTCATTTGCATCCCATTATCGCTTATCTTTTGGGATCTCTGTTGCAAATGAAATAAGCTATTGTAAGCATGAGTAAAAAGGAATACCTGTTTACACAAAAATAAGTCCAGTAACATTAATGCCAGTATTGGAACACTCCATTTTAACTATATTGGCACATCCTTTAATATAACTATTGGTTTATGCATCTCCAGATCACAACTTCTAAATCATTACATATATGCAAATTAAAAAGATGTACAGGCAATAGCATTATAAGTTATAGTAAAAGTGAGTTCACTTATGAATAAAAAATGCTCATCTCTCACCAGAATGGGGAATTAAAAAGCAAATATAGCAAAGAGAATAAATTGTTAAGAGACAATATATGCGAGTATTTATTTTTATATAAACATAAATCTAAACATTTTAATTTTATACTAACATCTTATGCACATGAGGTAATTATGGAAAGAAAAAAAATGCAATTTTACATTTCATTAGGTTTCATGCTGTAGCAGATATGTTAGCATCTTTCCATTCTTTAGGGTAAGATACAGAAGTAGATATTTCTGGCTTTATTTGCAATATTGGCAATCATAAGTTAAATTTATAAGCTTCCATAAATTTTGTAAAGATATTACTGGTTCGCATATGAATTGTCGCTGATAATTTCCAGATTTATATGCAAGCTATTTGATCGTAACGTATTCTTACATTTTATTCAGTAATCAAATTACGACTTTAGTAGTTTCTTTAATTCAAGACTATTAAATAAGTGATAAAACTTTGCATTCAGTTCTGTGCTCTATTTTATCTACTTGTAAGTTTTTTATGAGTAATAATTCTTCCACGAATTGAAACGATAATGGAAATAGAAAATAAAAGAGTAAAAGTATCACTTAACCACCTAGATATCAGAGTACTATTTCAATAAGTTCACAGATTTCACAGATAATTAAGATTAAAAGTTATAGAATGGAAAATGTTTAATAAATAATAATCTTAGGTGAATGGAGTTTAATTTTTCTCTTATCTCTTGGACGTAATTTAGTTTTTCAACTTTTTATCCGTAACTTAATTTGTTTAGTAAAAGGGGAGATAAAATTAAGTTTGCGTGCTGGAAAGTATCAAACAATATCTTGACATAAAATCAACATCTTTAAGACTATATTTAAAGTGCTATTACTATGTTTTTACAACAAGAATTAATTTAAAAAATGCTCAGTTGATTCATCCCAAATTTCAGTCTGATTTAACAGACCCTATTTGAGGAACGAATATTAAAGTATTTAATTTCAGAACTGTTTTTGACATGAAAAGACAGCAGAATGTGAGTGAACTTGATTGTTTAATTTTGATTCTTAATTTACCTATTACTATTATTATTTATTATTATTACCTATTAAAATTTTATTCTGTCTAGTTTGAATTAATGAAATGTGTTATGCTTATTTTTGTGTTTCAGTGGTAAAAATTTGTAATGCAATATTCAATTCTTTATAATAATTAGTTGTTTAATTTCTTTTGTCCACAGTTTTATTAATAATTAAAATTTCGGGTTTTAAACATAAAAGTTGCATATTTTAATTTTTGTTTAATCATTAGTTATTTAAGATTGTTTTGAACAATGTTAATATTTAAGTTATAAGTGTTTCTGTTTTGAACAATGTTAATATTTAAGTTATAAGTGTTTCTGTTTTGAACAATGTTAATATTTAAGTTATAAGTGTTTCTTCCTCGTATTAACAATAAATTTATAAACTTCGTCTCAATGCTTTTATTCTCTAAATGATCAATTTTACAACCTGATGTTACGATAAAATGGTAAAATTGGAGAATAATTGTTATATTTTATTATCTTCATCATTATAACGAGTTGCCTGCGCTTATTTTTGGGTTTTCATATTTTTATCTCGTGGAAGTAATTGCTTTATCATCATCAAATGATTTTCTTTTCTACATGGGAACTTTAATATTTTAAAATACTAATTTCAATAACAGTCTTAAGAATCGAAAGTCTGCAAAATCTCTGAGATATTTTTCGAATAAAAGTTTCAATAATATTATGAGAAGTATCCTGTCTCACAGATCATTTTGGTAATACTGATTGATCTTTCTAAATAATAGGGCGAAAGTCTGCTCATAGAAATTCGACAGCATGCTTTCAGTTTTTTCCTGAAGTCTTCCAACATTAAAGATATAAACGCTATAGATCCATCGAAATTGACATCAAATTGCTAATATTATTTTTGTTGTCACGAATCCTTAAACGAGGGGTAAATAAAAATAAACGGGTTTGAATAAAAATGGACAGACTCCAGAGTAAAAATATGTTGGAGCATTGGTGCATCTTTTTTTTTTTTTTTTTTTTTTTTTTTTTTTTTTTTTTACTAGAGAAGACAGTACAATAACGCTTAATTTCTTCCGATATTTGATCCTGACAATTCTGGGAAAGAGAATCCGCGGTATACTTTTCCATACCTCTCCCACAAATGTCTCAAGTTTTGATTTAGTTTATTTGAATATTGCAAAGCTCTCGAGGGCTATCACCAAACTTCTCAAAATTTTCAAGCAACGGAATTTAAGTGCTACCATCTTAAAAAGGCATTACAGCCACAGGCCGCTCAAGCAAGGCTGGCACCTGTGTATCTATGTAGGCCTGTTAGGCATTGCGGGACTTGCTAATTGCTAAGTTTCCGCCCAACTGGAATTCGAAGGACAACTCTCCGGGGCAGACCGAGTGTCTTCTCTTCTTTCCCTACCAATAACCCTTCGAGAGGGTTTAGGTTCGGTATTTTGAGTGCCTCTTTGCCGCACGGATACTATACGCTTACAAAAATCCATGTATTTTTCTGTATTCGAACCCCTGCTGTTCGCTACGGCAGTAAGCATCACAAACCACTATTACGTCTTGGTAGGATCATGGAAACACTACAGGCGGAAATGTTAATTTCAGATCGCACCTCCAATCGTTCGGACTATGAACAACATCCGCTGACCACCACGGTGACTGGATGGCTAAATGATTTAAAGTATATAAGAAGCAGAATATTTTTCAACAGTGAGAGGCAAATAAATATCTACGTCGATAGCAAGAAATAATAAGTTATTGTATTTTTCTCACAGCAGCAACTGCTAGATGAAAAATATGTTTTTCGGAATTAGTTATTTGCAGTAACTTCAAGATGTCAGAAGCATATCACTTTCTTTCTTGACCGCATTTCCTATCTTACACATAATAATCATTCAACTAATATTTTCTTCCGTTTTCTCAAATCCTCTAATGTTATCCGAAAAACTACAAATTGATTTGACGAAACAATGAAAAACTAATTTATTATAATGAGTATTGTTATCAAATATTACCATTCTACAATGAATATTTACTGTACCACCATCTTCTCAGGATTATTGAAAAAAAAATGTGAGGATGATAATGCTTGGATCGGTTATTCTAATATTTTAAGTGCCGTTATTGAAGCCTATAATTTATATCGCAAACTAATACAGACAAGATTTGAAACAAGGACGAATAAATGTTTTCTTTTCCAGGTAGAATAACTATGGCGTTTAACTCCACCATAATGATAATATTCTTTTCTTTTCTAAATAGGCATTCGTAAAAAGGACTTTCACCGCTATGTGTCTTTTAATGGTACCACGTATCTAAGCTTCCCTTATAAAAACACAAAAGGGTATGTAACATTTTATTGTAGAATATGAAAATTTTGATTTATGTATCGAATTCATTATACTTTGATATATTTATGTAACTAAATTATTTTGTTATAATATTTTCATAAATTCCAAATTCTAAGTGTGTAAAAACTACACACGAATGTTTTTATAAGACAATTGATAGTATTTTAATTCAATAATATGATATCAGTGGAAGGTTTAATTAATGTTATTAACTTTAGTTATACATGTAACATAACAAAATGTTTGAATACCTTTTTTAGTAAGGGCAAAAACATTGATCAGAATATAATAATAATTTTCAGTATTTGAAACTACATCTTAAAAGAAAATATTCAGCATTTCCTATACTATTCAATGTACAATATTATAGGTGGAAGTTATGGCTTTTGCATTAGATGCACATTCAGTTATGCTTCGCGTCAGTCGATTGTTCAGCATTTTTTTCTTCGTATAAAGGAAATCTGGGTATATATATATATATATATATATATATATGATGACCGGTTGCGCAGTGACTAGCGTATCGCGCAGCAGCACCACAGGTTCAGGGCTCGATCCCCGGTCGATAAAATGTGTACCCAGTTCGCTTGGGTACAAAACACTGAGGATCCTGCGACAAGCTGGCCACTTATTCAGGGCATATATGCTCACGCACCCCACGGTCAAGAAAGCAGATTTTTGGCACTGCAGGCCCCGGTCTAGGGCTATTGGGCCACTGAGTTTAGTTTTAGTTTGGATATGTGTATTCCTAACAAGTCAAGCACTAGTTATTGTTACGAATCATGTGTATACATAAATAATTTTAATAAAATTGTATTTAAAATTGTAGTATATCTTGTAAAATGCTTTATGAGAACGAAACTTCACCGGAAAAATAAAGTTACAAGAGCAAGTCCATTTAACATTGTAGTAAATTGCTATCTTGCACAATTTATGAGATACCAACAAGCTGGCGATGTTTTTGGCGACTAATTTTTGTCCCCAAATTTGGCGAGAAATCGCCAGTTGGCGACGACATTTTGTTCCTGCACATGTGTAACTTTAATTCGCACTGTGATTGAATAGCTCTATTATCCTTTTCCTCTTGCAACTTTTCTTTGAATTCTTTCCTAACCAAGCATCTGATATTCTTTTTGAAAAGGACTGGCAATAATAATATCGTTAAAAAGAATTTCAAGATTTGCAGATCAACGAATATTCATATTAAAATGTTGTCATACTAAAAATTGTGAGGATTATGTGTATTAATGTGAGTTAATTATGAATAATAATCATGTGTAAAATTGTCACAATTGTGACAATAATTACGTAGATGCCATTATTGTTTAACTATTATTTCGCAATAATTATGTAATTAATATGATATTAATTATGTGTAAAATTATGAACATATTTTTTAGTTAAAAAATATTTTCCCTGTACATGACCATTTAATTACTGTACGCATAATCTTATTTTAGCCTTGATAGAAAATATACTTGATCATTTACAAAATCCTTGATCACATATAAGTTTTGAAACGACTGATTTGTGTTTTTCATGTATAACGTAGAGAAATAATGAAACACATAATAAAAACTGCTTTTTAGATTTTGAATTTTCTTACTGTTGTACCTCGCCTCTTCTTCTTTCTTTTTTTTTCTTCTCTTTTTCGTTTTTTAATTTTAAAACACATGTCATAGCGGAAGGTGGATTCTGGATTCCAGTCGAAATAAGATATACGGTTTATTAACATAAATTTAAATGTGTAAATATTAAAGACTTGCAAGCCTTCCGTTTTCGTCTCGTACTAATATCTTGATTTTATCTCTAATTGTTAATCTACATCTAAAATTGTGTTAAAGTTTTCTTTTTCTGTTTCTTTTCTCGTGTTTGTAATACCTTGAATATATGCCTTCAAAACTATCAGACTTTGCTTGATATTTCATTATTTCCTTCTCTTCAGTATTCGCTGTCTTATGATGTCAAAATAGAAGGACTTATTATTGGGCTTGAAATATTACAAACGATTTATGATATCTCTCAAGCACTGATTTAAATGCAAAAGCATTGTGCTGCATAAGGCCATAGAGACTTGCTTACCAGAGAAGCTTACTGCATATTTAGTTACGGCCGGTGCAAGGCTCATCTTGCATCCTGAGATGTGCTAACATCCTGTTTATACGGATACAAAAGGCTAAAATAATCTTACTTCTCCTACTGGATTAACATACTGTGCTTGCAGTTCTTAGAATGTGATATTATATTGTTTAAAGACATTCTTTTGAAGGTAATATTTTCCAGACTGTTATCTAAAATGTAATCTTTTGAGCTAGAGCTGTGAATCTTCGTTTCAAGGGAGATCCTACTGATATTACAAACGATTTATGATAATCTCTATGCAGGCGTTGATTAGCAAACATGCTAATCAACGCCTGCATATTCAGTTAGTATGATTCATTGAACCTTGTCTTTAAGTCAAAATGTTTTGAAGGGAATAGGTTATCAATACAAATGCTATAAATTAGTTGAATCATTCTGTCCTCTTTATCCATTCTTCCGGGAAAGCTTCGGGATCATTACGATTAAATGAAAGACATAGAGAGGAGGATCTAGTATAATTAGAAATAAGAAAAATAGAGCTAACTGGTCAACAAAAACACTGTCAGCCATTCAAAAATTTTCGCTTTCTTCAGCTTCTGTATTAACTAGTTGATTTTACTATGGAAAGTTTAGACTGCAGCTTTTCAGTAAATATCCGTAACATTAAGTTTGCCAGGTTAATTAAGGGAAATAATATTAATTAGAGCCTAAGTAAAATATACATGAAATAGCTGGAAATAATTTTTTTCCCACAATGCTTTAACGAATTCAGATCACTTTTTAAGCTAACATTTTAACAATTAAGTGAAATAAACTGTGCCCTTTACTTCAGTATATCTGAGTTAGTATCATTGGAATGCATCAAATCTTTTATAACACAGTTGCACATAAAAACCACTTAAAATGGCGAGAGTGAGCCCATTGTGTTAATTTTTTGACCCCATTAAATTTTCGCTTGTGAAATTTTGCGAAAACGCTAATAGAGTAAATCTCCTTAACACGAATTCGCTTAAGCGAACTTCCGGAAGCAATGTACATGAATTTATACGAAATTTTATCGGCTATCACGAATTACGAATTTTTTAGTGCGTTGCGTCATTAGATGTTTCCGTTTAACATGAACTTTAAAAGTTTTTTTTTTTTTTTTTTTTTTTTTTTTTTTTACTTAAAAGTTTTTTAACTTTAAAAGTTTTCTTTACTAGGGCTTTGTTCATAAATATTCTATCACGTTTAATTGAAAACCTCATAGAATAAGCTGCATTCTTTAAAACACAGCCTTCAACCAACAAATGAAATTCTGTCTTTAGATGAGTTTTTTTTTTAATTTTAAATTTATTTATTTATTTATTTTATTTTTTAAAAGTTATCTATCGCGACTGATGTTAAATTTTGTATAATTTTTAATTAAGATGTGTGAATTTTAGTATTGAGGAGTTTGTTAGTGCAAGTGATGATGTTGTTGTCTGTGCTTCAGTGAAATCTGCCCGGTCTGAGGTGCAAGAAATGTCATCAGAATAAAGGGAGGAGAACAGTATCATTCCGCCCACCCACCAGGTAGTGTGGTATAAATGCCATAGTGTTATAGTCATAAGACATAAAATGTGGGAGTTGCGTTAACACCTGCGAGACAGGATTTAAGCCATAGCTAATCAGAGAAGCTAAATTAAGCCTGCGTGGATGTGTCTACAGCTTTCCCACTCAATAAGTTTCGTGCTTTCGCAGTGATTGAGCTACTCTTATACCAAATCGGCATAAAGTTGCAAACTTCGAGTTTTATGCCTTTTTAAGATGGCTGACTATGGACAGATGCAACACTTCTCCCATGTCCGAGTTCTTAGCATTACAATCCTGCTCCTGATTCGGTTGCCTTGCCTCACGTGACATCAGCACTGGTTTTACTTGGATTGTTTCTCACTGCAGCACCGCTCTTTTAGTCAACAGATGGCGCCACCTCTTCGACCAGCTCCAAATAGCTTCTACATCTCCCTCGCTCAATTTTAAAGGGACAATGAAAGGACTTTTCGAATTCTTTTTCTCTAACTCCATTGCTCTCACACGGGGATTCAGTCAAGTTCCTTCATCACCAGACCCATTGCGGAGTTATTTCAGGGAAGTACTGCAAAAGCAGTAGAAATTCTGCATAACTACTTCTGTATCATACAATCAAGCTATGCCAAAACTCCTAAAGCAGTTTTTGTGACGTAACAAGGTCTGGTTATCTAGCAACGAAGCTCGGTTTAAATCAGTTGTAACATTTATACCACTGTCTGAACGAAGCCTTACAATTTTTGGACACTTTAGAACGTTTTCCTGTCACATCCGAACACTAGTTTTACGGATGTCATGAGTACAGGCCGTAAAGTCAATCAGGCATTTTTGTTCTCGTCTGCGACAGCGCAATATACCGGAATTTTTAACTAGAAAATTATCAATATGTACAGTTTCTCAAGTTACAGTGCAATAACTAATGTAGTACTGTAGTGTTTCCTCTGATGTCATACATAATATACTGTTGAAGTTAAGTATGTACCTATATACTGCAAATAGTAAATGTGTAGAAAAATTATTCCAAAATAAAATTTAAGCCTCCAACTTAGCACAAGTTTTTTTTTAACACGAACTCTTGTTTTTTCTGTCCTTTGGGATTCGTGTTAACAAGGGCTTTATATATTTATTGCTATTACCAGAAAATTGTATGAGCTGTCTTCAGGAAATCCTCTTTGAGTATACTGAAGTTACGCCGTATATTTTGTGCCGAATATGGCAGAGAATATAGGGCTTCGATTAAAATATACCATTATTTTACAATGTATTATCATGGAAAATGGTGTACATCCTTATTTACGGTTTGTCTATTTATTAGCAATGAATATCGTAAAAATATATAATATTTATTGATTGGTTTTTAAAACTATATATAAAAGATTAATGGTTAAATTTTGCATTAAGACCTTCATATAGTATCCTGAACGCTCAGCTAAAATAAGCTTACAGAACATTAGTAAGGGCTAAAAATACCCACGCCGAAAGAGCTTTACAACATTTGTGGCTTTTGGAGAAACAAAACGAGGTTTGAGTTGATGTATCGCTATAATTTTTCTTTTCTTTAGTTCCCGGAGCCGGAAGTCGAACCGATTTCAGATACGCTTCCGGACTCGCCATTCCTCCGGCTTGCTGTTCTGGACAAATAAAGGATCCAGTCTGAAAGGTGATTACTTAGCTGTCGCTCTGATTGATGGATACCCAGAACTCAGCTACAACTTGGGTAGGCAAAGCGAGCACTGGGCTATCAGGAGCGATCAAAGAGTAAACGACGGGCTGTGGCACTCTCTCACTTTTCACAGGTAATGATAGCAATCACTTTTAAAGTAAGACAGCTAAAAAAAGTAAAAGAACAATAACTGCTTGTTTTTTCTTTCCATAGTTTCAAATGAAAGTGTTATGCTGTGTTGTCCTTGAAATGTTGTTAATCTTATTTTCATTTTCACAGTGACATTGTATCAAATGGTAAAACTCCACGCATTAAATAGAGGAATAAATACAAGTGTTCATTAAATCGAAGTTAAAAACAAAATCTGAAAGGTTTCAGATTTTAACGGCCTGTTCTAAAGATTAATATTATTAATCAGTAGAAATTACCAATAGAGATGGCCCAGGCGTAAGAACGAAACATTATATATATATATATATATATATATATATATATATAATATATATAATTTATTTCCTAAACAGTATTGATTAATTGATTATATTATCTCCTAAGTTTAATTAAAGTAGAATTATTTTAAAAGTGTGCATCCATACTGGTAAGTTATATTTTGAAAGATGTTTTGAAGTAATTTGAAAGCAAAATGTTAATAATGTTTTAACGGGGACTGGAGTTAAATCATCACGAAGAATAATATTACAATTGTAAAAAGAAAAATTAAAACATGTAATTATTGTCATTGATCGGAAATTAGTTGACTTTTCAAGGGGAACAAACCAACTCCCGTTCAATGAACAATAATTGATAAAAATACGTAAATATGAAAGTGTTTCGTCTTTACTCGAGTTATAAGTTAAAGCCAAACCGGCAATTCTAGTCAGGCCAAATATTTCCGCATATATATATATATATAGCCTATTACGAGAAAGTTACACATTTTTTGTATATTTCAAAAACGCAAACTATATAGCGTAATTCTGTAAAAGTGCTGAATATTTTCAATTACATTTAGCGTGAAATAAATGCATTTTTATTTAAATCATTCAGATTAAAAAGTAAAAAAAACATATTCTTAAGAACTGTATCCATTACGTTTAAATAGTTTAGTTTGTTACCTAATACCAAATATAATAAATTTGAAAGATAAATAACAATGGCCATGAATAAAAAGTGAAACATCGTGCTAAAGTAAATTTACGCAGAATCGTGTTTTGAGATTAATAGCCGTTTTGGGCTTAAAAATACAGTTTGAAACTTCAGACTATACATCAGGAAGTGCTTAGTATTAAAATTTTAAGAAATTAACAAATTAATATATATATGCCATAATTTTATGCTTAGGAGAAAAACACAGGATTTTTTAACAGCTTTCGATATCCATCATGGTTGAGGGTTGAATGCGTACAGACGAAGATAATAAAACTGGATTTTTATAAATCACTAATCTTTATTTTCGCACATATAAAAAATCATCCTTTTCCACACAAGATAATTTTAAATCATATTTGAATACAATAACTTCTTATATACACAGGTTAATGGGACGACATCATTCTAGACAAACAAGCAGGGCAGCGGGGATATGTTAGCTAGGGAAAGGAATGACGTAATTATTGTGCCAATAATATGCTGTAAGTAAATGCTGATGCTGTAAGTAAGTCTGATGTATAAGTGCAGCTAATATGTGATTGGTTAATTTTAGGTTATTATATAACATGAAAGGATCTCCAATTTGAGAGAACAGATGAATTTAGGTAGACAGCACCAAATCTAGAATGGTTAATTTTTAAGTCTCCAATTATTCTTAAAGCAGCTATCATATTATATAAGCTAATTAAACTAGAAAATTATGTACAAAGGACTTATAAAACAAATCCTGCACAAATTGCTGCAAAGACTTTATTTTTAAATATAGATTAATTTAGAACTAAACAGGCAAGAAAATGTAAGCAAGAAGAGGAAAAAAAAATTACTCAGAAATTTCATTAAAAATTTTTTTAAGTTAAAATATGGCACTGCTAATTGATATTGGTGTAAAAAAGTATTCTTGCAAAAAATATGGGAATATATATTGGGAAATAAAAATATTTCCATTTCTATTATTTACTAATCTAATTTTTTAATCTTTCCATATTGTATTATATACCAATCTAATATTTTAATCTTTCTTTTAATTTTGCTAATCTAAAATCTTTTAATTTTTTCATTTCGTATTTTACTTTTTTTTTTTTTTTTTTCATTTTGTATTTTTATCACTAGATTATTTTATTTAAATTTAATATATTTTAATCAAGAATGCTTTTTTACGCTAATTTCAATTAACAGTGCTATATTTAAAATCCTTCTATTTTGTATTATTGACTAATTTAATATTTTAATCTGTCCTTTAATTTACTGTTAAAATGGTTAATCAATATTTAAATATACATATATATGTGATCAAAATTAGAAAAAAAAAAACTTTTAATCCTTGTAATTTAACCAGTTATTATGATTTCGATCTTTACTTTAAATTCTTCTTTCATCATCAGAATGCAAATTAGTTATAAGTGTATTTAAGCTGAGGTCACAGACAGAGAGAGTTTCTGGTTCTCGTATAGCTCTATTAGATTTTGCCCGCTCTACCTAAATATAACTTCCTCGGCTCTGAATTCTCTCGCATTCGTTTGCTTTAACTTACGCGCCGGTGAAGATAGTTGAGCCAGTTTACAGCTTAGTTTGTTATCTGTGTAGTCTTAGACTACTTTTAACACAGTTTTAAATTAAGTACCTGTTTATGATTAATTTACATCCCCTCGAGTAGTAGTTTATTTGTAGCACAAGTCGTGCCTTTTGTGTTACAGTTTAATGAAAAGGCTGTTTAAATTTTGCAAGCATCTGTCATAATATTTCCCGAAGTTGCAATTCACTATAGTTGTCTAGTAGGGTTGTAGGACTCATTTTCAAGTATCGTCTTATGTACAAGTTACAACTTCGTCAAGAAACAAATAAATGTAAATAAAAAAATGCTGAGAAACAAAATTAATAAATGATTAATTCGTTAATTTTACATCCATGAAAGGTTTTTATAAACAATTTAAATAAAATAAAAAGTAAAAGAAATAAAAGTTTAAAATAATAAAATGATTTAAACACGTTCTCATCAGGGTAAGACGTATCAGGGTAATAATTTTAATTAATCCAATCAAAACAAAAACTATATTTCTGCTATATTCTGTTTTAGCTATATATAGCTGAAGTGTTTGTTATGAACCTTGTGTATTTATGTAGGTCCTGTATTCCGTAAACTCTGGTGGGGCACAGCTGTTGCGTTTTACTATTAAAAAGCTTCAGTTTAGGAGGCCTGACAAATAGCAGTGGCTAATAACTATTAATTTTAAGTTGCCTAATAGAATACAGTTATAACTAATTTTTTACTTCAGTTTCCTCTGCTGTTTGTATTACTGACGTTTAGTTAGACTTCGTTATATTGGCGAAGACCCTAGGTGTAGCAGTAAAGGTAAAACGGGTGAGAGGTCCAGCCTTACTAATTCTATGCCCGAATGAGTATAAATTATAATAATTATCGTTTATGATAATTATAGTGCAAGGTAGTAACCGTTTACTAAATGTAACTTGTGACTAATCGTCGGTGAGACTGTAAGTGACTTATTGTTATATCTTTAAAGTAATACATGAGCTTGAGAATGGTGTAAAAGATCCTTTATTTTAAAACTAAGATGAATAGAAAGCACATCTGGTGCTTACAAACAAGCCAACATTTATGGCTAAAACTCAACATAGAAATTCAATGTAAATATAAATCTAAATAGCGAATAACCAAAGGCTACTCAGGGTAAATAATCGCGAAGTTAGCTTTTAAAGCTTCACCCACGTGAAATACTATCGGTAATTATAACGCACTGTCGAAGGCACGAATATTATCTTACAGTAGTATACCTAGTAACATATGTTTCACTAGGCGAAACACGCTCTGTCTAAGTTATTTCAAACCTTCAGGTTAATGCAGGCCAGATAATTTGCATTCTGGTGGGAAAACGGAAAGAGAGAACGTACAAAATTAGTAAAGAGGTCCTCACTCTTATGTATGTTAATTTATTTAAGGATCGGGTTATGTAGATATCGAATGCAGAGTTAAGTCGATAGACCTCAAAATCGCTCTTACCCAACAGCGACGCAGTCGCAGTGAGGTGATGTCGATCAGTCTATTTAGGCAAAGTCCCCGGTTTGTGTGTTTGGCCCACCTACTGGTGCGCGCCGAAGGCGCGCACATAGACCCCCCGTAGGGGCCAAACACGCTAACCGGGGACTTCGCCTAAATAGACTGATCGACATCACCTCACTTGGTAAGTCCAGTGGACGAAATCCTCGTTAGGGAGCTTGGCCAAAAAAAATGAAAAGTGCGAAAAAAATTTAGCAAAAAAAAAAAAAAAAACCGCCGCCAGCGGCAGGCCCACTCAACCCCAAAACAACGGGGGAAGTTGTAAAGTGTCAAAACATAAAATAACTGGTTAAATAAATTAAATAAATCATACACTAGGTTTTGTATCCGTTCTCTTTATATCATGCTCTTGAATGTATTGCTTTTGCCTTATAAAAGCCGAAAAATATCACGTATATAAATTTTAAATGAACGTCAATCGAAACAAGTCTATATAATACTTAGGAAGCTCCAGTTTGATGCATTTACGATAAAATAATAAAAATGAAATTGTTGTATTTTTGATTGAATTTGCAGAGAAATTAATTTCAGATTTCGAACAAAGATAAAAAAAGAACAGAAACATAATTAAAAAAAAAGTTCTTTTTGTAGTTCACGTTTAAATTTTGTCACGAGTGAATAATGTTAGTCAGTAAATTGAATAACAACTTATTTTTAAATCACTTTCATTTCAGTATAGGATAAGAATTATGAATAATGTATAAAACTATAAAGCGAAATACAAGGTTCATGTAATACTTTAATCTTTTATCGGTTCATTTGCTGTTTTTACATCAATTTCAAAACAAACATATTATCTTGTGATAAATTTTCAAAACCTGGGAAACTTATAAGGTTACAATCCAAGTATAATTTATTTACAACTATAATTTATTTACAGTACTATGCTGACACAAGTCTTTTCTTCCTGTCTTAACTAGATTACGACCCCACAAACTGGTTAATAGCAAACGTATAACAAACAACTAAAATATGTATTAAAGATTATTATATTATTAAATTATTATTATATTATTACTAATTAAAATTAAGATACTAATTTCTTAGACTTTCTACCATCGTGTCTGATTTGTATATCCAGTTAAATTTATATTTGAAGCTTGTAAGGCTTATTTTAATTAACTAAAATCTATAAATCTTAGTTTTCATTAAACCATAATAATTAATGTAACTGTTTATAACTAATATCTCTATCATCTGTAGATATATTTTCAATTTATTAATATGATAATGTTTTGTGGAATATGTATTGTACGTATGGTATTTTGGGGTTACTATATGCATAAAAAAAACCCTAGTGAAGTATTTAAAACTCATTAATACTGTATGCAACATCAGTTCCTATGGTAATAATTTAATTCTGATTTAATGCACTAATATTTGTGCAATATTCGAAAGCAAATTTAGTTACTAGTTTATGGAAATTTCTCTTAGGAATTTCACTAGGGTTATATGAATTTATAGCGCTGTTAATTCAAATATAAATGCTGCAATAAATCTGTGTTTCTTGTATTATAAAATGAGTAGCAGAAGAAGACAGTCTAAGATCTTATAAATTTTCTACAAAGTTATATTTTATATTTACTGTTTCATTTTTAATTCATTCTTGTTATTTTACGTGAATAAAACAGGAATATCGGGAAAATGTCAAAAACAAATTACAAGAAAAACGCAAATAATCTCTAATTCACCTAACTAAAATTTAATGATTGCCTCAAAAAGTCTGTAATTTCCTAATGTTTTCTCAAACATTAAACTAATTAATTAATTAAACTGATTTTACATTAAAAACATCTGAGAATAAATATTCTGGGCTCATTAAGTGTTTCAGCTTTTATAGAATTAAATTTAGTTTTCCACCGGGACTGATACTATATACATTCGAGATATGTGAATTTAAGAAATTAACTGCTGTTTGTAACAAATGAGCTTCCGTGGAAATGCAGTTTTAACCGCTTCCTTCTTTTCTTCATTTCTAATAAACATTGCATCAAAATGACACAGGAGAATTGGTAAAAATTTGGACAGATAGCACCATAATTAATGACATTCAACGGAATTGTATAAAGAAGTGCAGGATAACGGTTTCCATTGGATAAAAATTATAAACGAGCATAGTAAAGCAATTAGTGTGTTACTAATTATTTTACTATGCTCATTTTTTAAAGGCTGCTCGAAGATACTTGTTTAATGCTTCGATGAATTTTTATTCGTTTAGGATACTTGTAAATATTACCTTAATTTTTGTTGCAAATGTTAATATTTTATAAGTTATTATTCTGAACAAAATAGAGAGAACTAAAAAAGATAACCTACCAAACTGAAATAAAAATCGAGTATGCGTTATCCCATTTCATATGAGGCGTATGACGTATGAGGCTCGTAGACGTATGAGGAAATTATTTACTAATTGCGTGAAGCAATAAATTTTAAGAACTCGAGGATGATATTTAAATAAATTTAACTTAAAAGCAAACTAATGTTTTTAAAATAGAAACCTTTAAGTAAGAAGGAAAGAATCTTTCTATCTTCTATGTATCAATCTATCTATCTACCTCTATATACAAGTATATATGCGAGCGTGAGTGTTCGTGTATTTGTTTGTGCGTGTGTAATTGAGAGAATTCTCATTGTCATTCAGATTTTAATGAAATTATGTACCCTTGATCTTCAAAACAGGACGAAAATCCCTGTCTATGTTAGATTTCGAGAACCTAAACCATTCAGGGCGGTTATATTAGAACGTTGCTCTCACGACACCTATCTTAGATTCACTTCAACGTTGTTGCATTCCCACTAGCAATGAACATTGGGCATAATAAATACATAATTTATAATTGTTTTTTTCAGAAAATAAATATTTTTGCTTAGTTTTCATATTAAAATTGCGTCGCCCACCTTAAGTTCATCTCACCGTTACTGCGTTCCTTCGGCACATCGAATTTAGCATTTCGAATTTGTTTTTGATTTGTTTCATATTTTATACAAATTTAAAAAATTTTTGTTCAACAAAATCACCAATATGAAAGCGAGAAGTGGAAACACGGTTCGAAATAAAATATTTTGATCTCCAGCCTGCCAGACTGTAGCCATTCCTCAAAAGGTACGAGTCAGCTTTCAATTTTGATCCACAATTTCGGCTATTTGAAAGCAACCTGTTGCTTTCAAATTTGAGTATTAACGTCCCTAAATTAAGTAATTAGAGCCTTAAATAATTGCTCTAAATACTTATTTGTATATACTTAAAACGCATAACTTATGATTATCATTTATTACGAATTTAATTGCCTCTTCTGTAGCGAACAATTAAATGTAAATAAATGCGTAATTCCTAGTTAAAAATAATGTGTTGCTAATATTGATGGATACGAAAATCGCAAAATGGTATGCAGATTAGCTGCTAAGATTTTAAATTTTAAGAGTAAGAGCCATAATTTTTTTTTCCGTAGATTGCTATCTGATATTATTTTCTAATTATCTGTCGAAAGGAAGTGTCAGTAGCTGACATAGCTGACATAAAATGTGTTTAATTAAAATTAATTCTTATATAACTGGGGTATTTCTTCTTTTTCTCGTTTATTACAAGTTCTTTTCTAATTCATTAATTATGCTGTCTATGAAAAATTGTTTAACTTTATCTCATGAAATTGTTTAAATCCCTAAGAAATTTCCTGAAATGATGAATGAGCTCATGAAAATTATTAGTCACGAAATAAATAAAGAGTAAAATGCACCTTATGGATCATCAATGAAGATGAGGTCAAAATGTTCCTATTGAAAGGAACTCCATTTTTGAGTTCCATTCCTATGAAAGGTTGTCCATTTATTTTACAACAGTTAAATATATTTTATTTGACTATTCATACATTATTGAATATATAACTAAATACATTCAATCGAAATATCTTTAACTGCCTATATTTTATGTCACATACCATGATACAACTTATTTTTCATTACGAGTTTTTCAAAACAATATTTAAATTTTTTATTTCTCTTCCGAAAGCAAAATTTATCAAAAAGACGATAATTGTATGAAAATATCACATAAATAATAAGTGAATTTAATAGAAAAATTTAAAATATTTAAATAATGTTTAGCCTCGCCTAAATAAAATTTTGGAAGAAATCCTAAATGTTATACTCGACTAAATGTATTATTAAAAAGGTATAAAATGGAGGAAAAAGTCAAATGTAAGTAATGAATTATAAGGAGTTTCTATGTAATAAATTTTAAATTTCATTATTATGTTTTTTACTATTATTATCAATTTCTAAATTTTAGTGGATATTTTTTTTTCTAGAAAGAAACGTTTAGGTGAAATACGTGTAGACAGAAACCACGTTGTATCGAATATGTCTGAGCCAGGTGCTACGGATTTAAACACTGATGGCGTCCTGTGGATAGGTAACAATCACTTTTGTTGAAATTTTGAAATTAGCAGTTTCTCTTATCACTTTTGTTGAAATTTTGAAATTAGTAGTTTCTCTTATCATTTTTGTTGAAAGTTTGAAATTAGTAATTTTTCTTACGCAGACATATTTTAAAATATCTAGTGTTTAAAATCTGTATTTTGACTTAGCATACGATTTCACAGATGTAGAGCAAGAAAATTATTTTTTTACATTTTAGTAAAGCCATGTCTAGCATATTTTACGACGGTAATATTATTTTTTTAATATTAATAATAATGCGCTAAATTATTTTTTAATATTAATTGATAATTTTATTTTAATCTATTCTCTATTGTTTTATTTTATGATAGTATTTAAATGTAGAAAATGAGTTTGCCTAATTTTAATAAAATACTATCTGGCACATTTTAATGTTAATTTTTAAGAAATAAGTTAAATCCATCCTTTCCTGTTTTATTTTAAGAGAACGTGTATTTGTTTTCTGTTTGTCGTTAACAGTAAAATAAACCGAAGTCCACAGAATAGTGACATTTGATTTGTAAGCAGCTGTTTTCTGGCCTTGGTAATGGCTACCACAAGGTAAGGCGTGGATTCAACAAGTCTGCAGAAGTATTTCAAAAATATGGCCTGCAAAATGTCGTTTTCAGTTTTCCGTAAATCAGTTAAGAATACTGGTATGGAATGCTATGCTTGCATCCATTTTAAAAGTACAGGTAATTTTAGTATAGTAAAGGTATTCCATTCAATTCAAATGTCCGACCTTCTTGGTGGCCGTTTCAGCAAGGAGATAACAGTCGAGTGCTCCTAGTTTTAGAAAGCAGCTGACCGACATTTGTTATAGAAGCAGTTTTCCTCCAGGTGCATTTCATTTCTCTTCTGACCGCAGAAAAGCAAGGAGGAATGTAAGTGGTCGAGCAGAAAATCTACGCATTTAGATGCACTGAGTTTGATTATAAAAGTACCGAAGGTCCTCAAACAATGACAAAAGAACATACCGAGACCGTCATTGAGCCATCATAACTTTATACTCTTCCAACCTGACATGCTTGATCCATGGCTTTATAGAACTGGGGGCAGATTCTTAACTTATCGTCAGCATTCAAATTCGAGACTTATCACTCCTTCTACAACATCTTGGCATAAATGGTCAATTGCGATGTTTTGTGGTCCATGCAGGATGTTAATTCAGTGATATGCTGTGAGAATTGGTACTCTCATGGGTACTTTTTGTTTTCTCGTGGTTTTACCTGGGCTTAGAAAACTCATGTAAAGATCTCCCACTTCACCGATTTTGAAGAGCAGGATGATTCATGGTTGCTTGTCCTTTGCAGTTTGTCCACTTACACTTCCCGCTTTCTGTGTACTTTCATAATAGGCTTGTCACTATGAAACGAGAAAAGTGCAATACTTGAACTTTTTCTGATAGTTTGCAGTGAACTACAAATGAATTCATGTGTCCTCAATCGAAGCATATAAATCGTGAGTTTTAAGTTTATGTTACTTTTATTAATTTTTGAGAGAGGGCTACGAAAGCGTCTTCATATTTGCAGAAAGGAAGGAGCAAGGCCACGTTATTTGCAGAAGGCAGTTTTCACTGGTCTTCAGTAAAGTGTACTTCAGAGTAATATTCTTATACTCTTCTCCGATTTCAGGTTTTAACTTTTATAAAAATTGTGACAATGCTTATTAATCTGAGAGGAAAAATTGACATGGAAAATGGTTTGAATTTAAAAAGAACGTTAAGATGTAGTAAACATTTTTAAGCAGTTACATGCGTTTTATTTAAATGAATGTAAAAAGTTATAATATAATCGCGAAATCTGTTTTCTCATTTACTTCCATAAAAGAGAAAATCAGTGTTTAAATAGACTGTAGATAAGAGATTTTCTTCTGCGTAAAAAAAAGTCTTTTATATCTATCAAAAGTAGAAAGAAATGGGCAACATAATATATTTCTAAAGCAATAAACATTAGAAAGAATGGTTTTGTGATCCTCTGAGTATAAGAGAGGGATTTTATTCTATACCATGAGCTGGAAAATATCCCAACGCTTCTACTTATAAGGAAACTTGGACATTTACTTCAGTATATAATGAAAGTTGAATGTAAGCATATTTTAATAATTCAAATATAAAATTTTGCACAGTTAAGACAGTAGTACATATTTGTGACTTTAGAAATGGGTGTTTTAAATTACGATATGAGTATTCTAATGATAGTTCATTCACACTCATATGCACATACTATGCAGGAATAAATTCCAAACATTAGAAAAGTCTCACCTAAATTGATTCGCCTTCTCATTAATTTTCAGTTAATTTTGAAATTAGATAAAACAATTAATTAGAAACAAGATTGTAATGGCATATAAACACTTTGTAATGGCAAATATACACCGAGAAATAGGGATATATGTACACCGAGAGAGACGGATAAACATAAATCTATATTTGTGTATTTTAATCTTCATCTTTTTGAAGTTAAATTTTTACGCCATTTCTTGAGAAGGTGCATAATTAAATTTGATATTACTATATTAATTTTTAAAATATAACTTATTGAGAATATTAAAATTTTTCTGCTTAATTTAATTATGTGTTGTATTAAGCATTTTATTTATTTAAGATGTCGTATTTATTTTTAAAGTGAAAGAAAAATAACATTATCATAATTTATGGTAGCTGTTTGAACATATCTTTTAAACTTATATTTCTATTACAACTATTTCTTGTAATGGATGTTCATTAAAAATGTTGTAAATAGTTAACAAGAATTTTAAATACCAAGAAATGCGGAAATTCTTTCAAGAGACAGAAAAAGATATTGAAAAAATATATTTTAAACTTTCTTTGAGCAGAGGGCAGTAATACTGCATATAATTATAGGGATTAGTATTTTCATATTCCAGCTTTATGAATCAGCTCTTGTTAAAGCTTTATGCACTTTTATTGCATATGTTGCAATGATATAATTTAAAAAAAAAGTGTTTTTATTTGCATTTGCTGAAATAATGCATTGAAAAGTAATGATATCATACATTTCCTTTCGCTGCGAATTCTGTTCCTGTATTAATAAGAAAAGAAACATGTTAACATTATTTACGCTATTCAAAACATGAAAGAGCTTGAATATTGGAACGCATTAAGCTGCTATTCATAAACAAGTGACCGATGAAATGGTGGATATTACCTCCAAGAAAAAGGAAACGTTTGGATGCACCCCGTTGGCAAACCCATAACAGGAAGGAATTGACAAAAGCTGAAACATTTTGAAAAGGAGGAAGAGAAATCCAAAAAGGAATTAAAGATAACTCAATTCCCTGTTTAAAAAACAGAAACATTACTTCGACAGAATATCAGGAGAAAATGCAACGAGGCAAATGTTTTTATTTCATTAGAATCATAAAACAGTGCATGATGTTGATAAATTCTTCAACTATAGGACTAATGGATGGAAAACTCGAAGTCTGCCGAAACATAGTCGTGGTAATAAAAAGCAGTATTGATTTGTTATTATTCCTATCTCAGCTTAAGAAACAGCAAATATTTGAAGTCAGAGATTGTACGCCAATACATAAATTGGGATGTGAACATGATAAAGTTATTGAGAAGACTTTTATTTGCGGAAAAACATGACACGTTCCATATTTTGTTTTTGTAAAAGTTACATTTATGATTTAAGCTATTTTAGGCAATGCTATTCAACAGCAATTAAATTTATTAGCCCTGGAGCTCAAATCATATCTCGAAAAATTATTTTACTTTTAAAACTGAGCTTATCAGAAAAGAATTAAGAATATAATTAAAGGATTACATTATTTAATTAATTACTTAAAACAGTCATTATTGCATAATGCAAAAATTTCAAGCGAATGCAAACTATCGCGCTACAAAAACTTTAAGTCTCCATAGATGTGAACGGAAGAAATAAGGCTGTTGTTGGGTTTCTGCTCATGAGCATAATTTCTAAAGAGAACTCATGAATAAACAGGGTAATTACTAAAATATCTGCCATTAACCTGAATCCATGAGCTTTTGCTGTGACAGAACAATTATGATTGAGAACATTCATAGAACACCTGTGGTTCGTTACTTTGTTACCAAGGATCTCAAATAGTTATCCATTATGATCAGTCTTACAAGGAGAGTTCTTTCTCGAAAGGATCAACGAACCGAAAGATAATAAATCATGCTATAAAAATACTACACATCCACAAATATCTATACTTTCTTGCAGCAATAGAATCTGGAAAAACAGGAAGCAGAAAATATATTCGTTCCCTGCATGGAGCTTTCAGAGCGAGTTGTCATGCATATAAGACTTAATCATCAAATTTTATGAATGCAGTATTTGTTCTTCAAAATGTTCCGTTTACAACTCTTGGATAGTTCTTCTAGCAGGTTGAGGAGCTGCAAAACATTTCCCTAAGCCTCCCATTAATAAAAATTAATTTCATTACATAGAAAAATATACATAATTTTGTTTTGCATTAAATGCTTATATTAATGTCATAGTAGTCGATTAGGTAAGTTATTTAGACGAACAATGAATATATTAACCTGTTATCAGATTTCAAAAGTTTAGACTGTAGTCTTTGGGCTTAGTCATTTGCATTAACAAAATCTTTCTTCGTTGTTAGGCGACATCTGTAAGATGAATGAAAATCAACAAAATGCATACTCGGATGTGACCTGAAATAAAAATACATGCCTAGGAGAAATCTGTTATTTACAGCTTGGTTCTAGCACACTAAGGCTATAAATCAAAACTATATATTTATTTATATGATTGATCGCTTAGACTGTATCATTATGCCAGTTTGTTTGTATTTCACGTATTATTATTATCAGTTAACCTGGTATGCAGAAAAAATTATTTACGGAATTCACAATTTTGTAGATCAAATATAGTTCTTCTTGAAATGCTAATATGCATAATAACAATGCAGTTGAAGAATATTAAAGTAATAATTAGCATACGCAAGGGAAACTTTATTGCTGAACGTTGTTTTGC